AGCCTGACCAGTGACTTGAGAGCACAGCGCCCTCTGCTGGGCAGTCACTGGGCAGGCAGGAGAGACCATGACAGGCCAGCTTGCTCTAACCACCGTGCTTCTGACAGAGCCCTGTGACAGGACACTCCATCCCTCCCTTCCCACAGGCCCAGTCTTACCGACTGGTGGCTCTTGGCAGAGACGATCTTCACAGCGTCTGGATCCCAGATGACTAGATCGCTGTCAGAGCCCACAGATATCCTGCCCTTGCGGGGATACAGGTTAAAGATCTTGGCAGCATTTGTGCTTGTCACGGCCACAAACTGGTTTTCATCCATTTTTCCTGTGGCCTAGTGAAATACAAAAGATTCTGTGTGTACAGCTTATCTCCCCATCATCTATACCAGTCAGTGTGGGACTTCTGGTCTCAGAAGAGGACCATGCAGATCCGGGAAGGAGGCCGGCTCGGGGAGATCAGGGGGCTGCACATGTGTGTGTGTGTGTGTGTCCACAGGATGAATGTGCAAGGACTCACCTGACAACAGCCAAGGTCATCCCTGGGTTGCCCAGTTATGAGAGATTTGTGCCTTTTTCATGTGTGTGCTTATCTGAGGGTTCCAAGTGTTCTTTACTGAAGATGTATCACGTTAGCAATTAAAAGACAGCTAGACATCGCTTCACGATGGCGTGAGGTTCTAAGAAGCGCATTGGGGGCAATTTCATCACTGTGTGGACGTCACAGAGCTGCAGAGCGCACACACCACACAAACTAAGACCACTGAGATCAAACTAGTCAATACAATTTTACAGGACTGCTGATGTCGCTCATTATTGGCTGAAATATTATTATGCAGCAAGGAATGTATATATTACTTCTTCACAAATTCAGATAGTGCTAGGAAACACACATTCATAAATATAAAATTGTGAAAAAACAAAAGCTAACCATGTAAGTGAAGGGACAAAAAAATTATCTTTTTTATCTTCTTAAAACGAAAGGACTGAGTAAGGAAAGACAGATGTGAGTTTAAAATCTAGCTCTGAGATCCATAGCAGGAAAGGAAAAAAAAAAGACTTGGTGGATTAGACTATGTAGATGAATGAGGCATTAGTTCATACACATTCTATTTGTTGCTGGAAACAGGAAAGCAATAACTTAATGAGTTTATTATTAATTTTAGTAAAATTTTCACAAGACTGTATCCTTGGCTGTTGCTTTTGTCAGCCCTTGGGATGTGAAAGATGCTGACAGATAGTGTCTCAGAGAGCTGGATGGCTGTATATCCTCAGTATAGGGCATATTTGATGGGCAGATGGACGTCAGCCATGGACTTCCTGTTCACCATTTCAAAACACTGTTTCTAGCCCTTTCAAAAGAAATCATAAAACTCTCTCTCTCAAAAAAAAAATAATTCACGAGTATTTTAAGCACCGAGGCTGTGTGTCTGATTCCTGTTAAGATTCCAGGGAAACCTCTTCAGAACCCTGGACCTTAGGATTCATCAGTAGATGATAAATTTCCAAGCTACCCGAGCTGCCTGGCTCTGGGGACCCTCAACAGGTGTGAGATTCGTCTGATGCTGTGCACCTGCACCAGTGGAGGTCCAAGGAGCAGGAGCTCGGCTGGGTTGGCCGAGCACCAGAGGCTCTGATCTGGCCTGAGGTTATCTTGTCCCCGACTGCCCGTCCACGCCCTCAGTCACTCACCACAGCCTTGTCCCAGATGACGGACATCCGCTCCTCCACGCCATTGGTACCCTCGGGGATGGCTGTGAAGTTGTCCTTCCCAATGGCTTTCTGAGCAGTGCTGAAGGTGCAGTGCGCACTGCCAGAGAGCTGCAGATCACCGCTGGAAAAGGACAAAAGTAGCCCGTCAACACTGGGATATTTGGGGCCCGTGGGGAGATCCAAATCTGGGTCTAGAATGTAGAGCCCAACCACTTCAGTGTGGAATTCCTTCTCTGTCCCTTCTGAGCTGTGTGAGCCTAGGTGAGTTTCTTACCCTTCCTGCGGTCAGGTACCCCATCTGGAAAATGAGGAGGTGGAAACAGATCATCTCTTTGGTAGCAAAATACAAGGGACTTAAATGAGTGATGGCCTGACCCTCCATGTCCACAGAGGGCAGTAACAAGTACCTCTTCCTGTGATCTTGGCTGAGGCACCAGGAACAACTATCTGAACTTAGGCAAATAATTTCAGGTCTTTGCTTAATCTGTCAAATAACAGTGATAATAACAGTGCCCGACTTGTAAAGCTGTTACAAGGAACAAATGAGATCACACAGGCATTAACTGCCATGGCCATTATAACATTATTACTGCACTACCATTTGAAATATGAGAACACGCACTTGTTCTCTGTGCTCCAGACTGCAGGAGGATTTTGCCCTGTGGACAGCAGTGTAGTTAGTGAATGGATGGGGTCGCCCAGCCCCCAGCCCAGCTGGCCCCAAGATGTTCCCACAAAGCGTCCGCTGCCTGGCAGTCCTGCACTGACCTGGCCAGCAAGGAGTTGATGTAGTCAGGAGTGGTTGGGTCCGGGCTCAGAGGTGGGGACGTCACAAACGCAGCTGCTTTGGCCCAGTTCTTGCTCCAGTAATGGGTCCCATCTATACCAAGGCTGGCAGTGATGGGCTCCCCGAAGACCACATTTCCTAGAAGAGGGAGGAAGCAGGCAATGGGTTTGTCAGCTCCGGATCCTGCTACAAGCTTATGCCTCTGGGGTTAGGTATACTCTCCTTCAAGTCCATGTCCCCAGCTTTTTTTAAGTCTTTGCTTTTCTATCTGCTAAATGTGAACAAATTTGTATTCCCTAGATAAGAAGAAGCACTAGTGTGAGGTACAGCATTGATTCTCAAATTTACCTCAAAGAAAATTTAAAAAATGCATCGATTTTAAGATTTATCTTCATTTCAGAAGTATTAAAATGCAAAATAAATATATCCTAGCATTGATGAAACAAGATGATGTCTACATGTCAGGCTTGAGAAATAAAAGGATTTAGCAAATAGGAATCTGGCACACAGTAGGTGCTCAGTAAATGCTGATTCCACTGTAAGGCCTGAAGTCCTAAAAACACCTCACATCCTGGGAATCTGGAGATCCCTCTGACACAAGGACATTCATTGGTTCCACAAAGTGAAATCTATTCCTGTAGATGACAGGCTCTCATGACCTTTACCATCACAGATTTCTTCTTAATCTAAAGAAAAAAGTAACCTGCTTCAGTCAAAAAAGTGCCTGGGCATATCAAAGGTGAGGTGAGCTTCTTGTTTTTTGTCAGGAACCAGGGGCTTAACTGAAGAGAGGCGAGGAAGGGCACAGGTGAGCTTCTTAAAGAGGAGGGATAGTGACACAGAAGGCAAGTGCTGATGCAGGAAGAATCAGGTACCCAGCTTCTCCACGCCAGTTGATTTGGAGTCCAGGGTACCCGGCACAGCCCTGATCCTTCTTTTCCACTGTCAGTGTTCACCCAGATCAACTCCAGGAGTCTCTATGGCAGGGTTATAAAGAAGTTTTGCCTTGCTTCAACTCCATGAAACTGGTAATTAACTGGAATTCCAGGTAGGGAAGAATTCTAATAATGCTTGGTGACTCACCAGAAAAGACTCCTGTCTGATCAGCGATGTCTGCCATATGGAAGAGAGAGGCGTGGCAGTGGTTCACAGAGGGTATTCCTGCTCTATGAGGAGGTGGTAAGAGGACCCATGTGTAACTGATGAGGATTTCAAGGCTTTCCAAAAATATTTACAAACTAAAGCATCTAAGGCCACAAAGAAGTGAAGAAAAGAGAGTCAAGGCAAGTGCTCAGCTGCTGCTATCCAAAAAAAAAAAATGCAACCTTAAAAGTGCACAAGCAGTGCTTCTGGACTATGTGTTGCACAGACAAGCAGGAAGCAAGGACTGTCGTTATGCCTGAGTTTCAATGCCAGGCCTCACAGCGGCTAGTCAAGCTGTACCCCAGCTTCTTCATCTGAAATAGGACAATAAATGCCCACATGACAGGCCTTCGTGCTCTCTGAGAATTCTATACAACCAGGGCTGGGCATTGTGTTGGTCCTCATTAAAATGAAGCTTTCTAATTCTATTTCTGAGCAGCCACGCAGAGTCATGCATGGGTCAAGGGTGACCCCTTTTCCTCCTTTGGAGTTAGAAAGAAATGTGGTCAGGAGGGAAGAGTGAGCCCCACTGCGCAGTCTTCCTGCTCAGGACGCCCTTGAACCCTTCTCTGAGGATGACAGTCTGAGATATTTACTGACTTCAATCTCAGCAGCCAGTTTTTCATCACTGAAAGAAAACATCACTCCACCCTAGAGACACAGCTGCACTAGTTCTCTTTGCCAGGGAATCATGAGCCAGAAGGCTGAGGGGGAGGAATTCTTTGCCGTGAACTCTGAAATAAGACAAGCATTCAACTGAAACTCCCCATCACTGGAGGCCTCTGGGTCATTCTGGGGGTGGGTTCCAGGCCAGCAGAGCGTGAATGTGGTGGGTGGTCCTGGCTCAAAGGATGTGTGATGGAGTAGTGAGGTTCTGCACCCCCATTCCTTTTCTCCAAGAATGGGACCTGTTCTCGCTCAATGACTTATCCCCAGTGGAGCAACCCTGCCATGTCAGCTGAGCCTTTAAAATGCTGAGGGAGAAAACAGCAGCTCAACATGAATAGGGTGATGTAGGAGAACTTGCCAGCCGAGCCTGGGCAATTAGGAAGATTCCCCTTCCATAAGGAAAGGGTTACCCTTTGCTTGAAGACCAGGCAGCTGAAAACTCAGCTGGCAGAGTCAGCTGGAGCTATTCTTAGCCACTCAGTCACCCACATGTGGAATTTCACACTCCAGTCTGGCTGATGAGTCACTCATCTTGGTCTCTCCATTACCAGCTGGCCACTGATGCTCAGCAGTAAAGATGGTACAACTGGGCTCACTAAATCCTCTTCCACAACCAGACACACGACTTCCACCTCCAGTTTCTCCACCACACTACTCATTCATCAGATCCACAACTAAGCCCACTGCTCTGCCACCAAGGACAAGAATCAAAAATAGAGAAGAAAGCTTGAAAATGGGAGTAAACTTTAGCTAAGCTCAAGTGAAGAACCGAGGGTCAACTGAAGCAGTGGAGAAGTGAAGCAGAAATCAAAAGGCGGTGGGGCCGTGGCCTTGTGCCCTGGAAGCCATGGTGGTGGACACCTTTGAAGACTCATTCACCCCTCTTCTACAATGAGCCATGCTTAACCTTTTCGGTCAGCTGGAGTGACACTGCACTGTGCTCTGCTCTCGGTCCTGGAGGGATTGGACGTCACACCCAGAGCAGTCTTTGCTTCGGTGATGAGCACATGACCCAAGCCAAGGTAGTCCCAGTGCTCCTGGAATCTGTCCTTATCACTGTTCACGATGACTACAAAGCCTCCATGGAAGACAGCAAGCCGAGAATGGAACATGAGTGACAGACACCATTATCAAAACCCCTCAATGTGGCCATGCCTGAAATACCCACACGTGAACACTGGCTTTTGTTTGCTTGTTTAAGCCAGTTTCGGGTGGATCTTTGACTCTGGAACCCGCAGTAATCTTGACTAGTGTGCACTTATAAAGCTCAAATAATGTGAACTGGAAATGAAAGATCAAAATGAGGAAAGACGATGCATCAAGTCTCACAATAATCTGTTCAGGCTGTGGCATCCTAGGAAAGACACAGAACCTTTCTGAGCCCCAGGTGGGAAAATCCCTCGATCCGGAGTGGGACAGAGGTTTCCTAGTGAGCAAGGCAGTGAGCAAAACAGGCACCATTTATATTGCACAGAGCCAAGGAAGGAAGGGACCACATGGTGCGGCAGGACCTCCAAGGACACCCATCACCTTTTTTCCTGGCTTGTGAGATGAGGTCAGCCGCGCTCTTGCTCATGACCTTTGTGACGTACAGGGGGCAATTGGTCTGGCTGGCAATGGTGATGGCACGGAACACGGCCTCAGCTTCCAGCTGAAAAACAAAACAAGAAAATCAGGAGTCCACAGGGATCTTGAGCCTCACATTCTGGCCACACCCCCAACCTCCAGAAATGGTGAGAACACAGCACTGTGAAGAAGTATAAAATTGAGAAGGATCTGGAATTGGACACCTGGACCTGCATCTCAGATCCATCACCTCCAGCTCTGTGCTTTGCTTAGTTCCTCAGTACCCGGGTCCCTCATGGTACAACAGACAAGAGGAACACAGCATAGGGCTGGGGCCAAGCGGGACTGGTACTGAGTCCCTATTGAGTCACTCTCCACTAGAGTTCCTAGCTTTCCCTCTCGTCTCCCTGTGGTCATCACAAAGGCTGTGCTTGAATGGAAGTCTTTGCTCCCCTATATTCTCAAGGTAGACTCTCTGGGAAAACATCAAGTGTAGATGAATCAGTAAAGGCAAATAAGCATCACATCTCCTCCAATTCTTTCTTGAAGGCAAGAGGTAGCCTGCAAAGGGTACCTCTGGAAAGCATTTCTTATAAAAATAACCTCCAGTCTTCTTAGCACAAAGACTTCTTTTACTACTGATTTCTTCCATCCCACCCTCATGTAGAATTCATGTTTTCAAATATGCTCTCTAACCCAGTTGCATTTGTTAAGAACAAGTAATGAACTTCCCCTATTTTGTTAACAAAGAAAGGTCTGAGAGCTTAGGCTGTCTCCGATGGCCTGAGTCTGAGTCCTGCTAGTTATTAGCTGAGCGACTTCAGGTTCAGTACATAACCTCCCGATGCCTCAGTTTCCTTGCGTGGAAAGTGGAGATAGTAACAGGACCTGAAACGTAGGGCTGCTATGAGGATTAAATGTGTTAGTCTTTACAAGCAATCATCTGACTTCTGGGACAAGTCAAGTGTCCCTTGAAGGGCAGCTATTGGTCTTGTTGCCGATCACAGTTTTTGACCAGTCTGAGTCTGTTATTACTCCAAGCCAAATTAGTCTCATTCAGCCTAGAGCACAGACACTACCATTTTCCCACTTGATCACCTACAGCTCATTTTTGTATGAGTATGACTTTCTGGTTAGCCTTTGCAGCTCAACACTTAGAAAAGCACCAAAACAGCTTGCAGATGCCCAATGGTTGTCTAACACGAACCAGTTCCTGCCTGGGGCTCAGCAGACTGGCTCTAGAACATGCTTGGATAAGCTGGCATCCCCCAAACTGCACTTTATTTGGGGCAGACAATGCCCAGAGGGCCCCTGAGTGTAGGGAACATAGAACCCTAAGTACCCCACTGCACCCTGCAGTGGTGCTCTGAGCCTCAGGTCCCACTCTGAGGAAATCACCGGAGAGGGTGCTCCGAGGTGCTTGAAAAGAGATGGGTTGGCTCATTCCCTCTCATTCCTCCCCCTCCTCACCTTTACTGAGCACTTCAGTGCCCCTGTGACCACAGCCATGGCCCCTTTGATCTCCTTCCCTCCCAGCACTGCAGGTTTTTCCATATTTCCACAGCATGACTATCTTTGGAAGGTTATATCACCCTCCAAGTTCACCCCAAAGGGCTTTCAATGTTGTAGAGATTTGCAGCTGAGAGGCTTTTTTACTAAAAAGGAGACGGTAACCAGGAGAAGGTTGGGAGGGATAGGGTGGAGGAGGTTGAAAAAACAAACCAAGGACTGAAAATAGACTTTGCTCTGAAATCCCCTGGCTGCTGCTGAAGAAATCTATCTTGCCAGCATATCTCTCCAGTGACCAACATTTACAGTTTTACAAACAGTGCTGATCATCGTGGCCTGCTCACACTGTGGATGATTTTCCAATTCTTCAAACATGTTCAGACAGTGGCTTAACCTCACTTAGCTTCAGGTTCTTTACCTGTGCAATAATGCTAACGACCTGGGGCAGCAGTAAGGATAACTAAGACAGTGCACGTAGTCAGCACAGTACCAGCTATGTGTTCTGTAGAAAAGATCAGGTATTACCAAGAAGTCAGACTTTTCAGGAATACATGACACAATCTTTAAAATTTATCTCAATACAAGCTTTTCAATTATTTCAAATGGCAATTAAGTATTATCGGACACAGGAGAGTTTCTGGGGAGCTGAAAATATTCTGTATTGCTGCCTGGGTGCTACTAATATACATGCATTCAGTTTGCGAAAATTATTGCATCCTTAGGATGGGAATGTGTGTGTGTGTGTATGTGTGTGTGTGTGTGTAATTGTTAAAAAGGCTCTAGAAGACCTGGGCCATGGAAGCCAGTCTTTTCTGGTTCTGGTTCTTCTATCTGCTGTGGAGTCTGGAATGACAGTAGAGTAACAGGATTTGCTTCACTGATAGGAAGAGCCTTGGATCGACACCAGGTGCCAGACCCCAGCTGCTCTCCCAAAGCCACCTTGCTCTCAGCCATATGGTCAGCCAATTCCCATCTCAGTGCCCTGTGCCAACAGGTGAAGCTGCTGACATTTCAGAGACAAGGAATCAGTCACTGGTCACTTTTTATTTGTTCTGTAGCTGTGCATCATGATGTATGCGCCACATGGAAAACTTTCATACCTGGATATAATCATCACCTTAGGCAAATCAATGGGCATAATGCCTATGAAAAAGACCACTCAACCTCCTTTTCACGTGATCAATAAACTGCAAGCATCAAAACAGTGTGTGAAATAACACAGGAAGTAGAAAGGTCATCAAGATTCGCAATGACTAAGCAAGGCATTAGCAATTTAACACTCATACTGAAAATCAGCTGACCACACTGCAGCTTGTGCTATGTCAAAGAGACTGAGGGTCAGAAGCTAGCATCTCTTTTGCATTTCTCTCCAACTTATTTGCACAGGCCTTTGACCTACAGTGGGTCAGACATGGTCTTTGAAAGAAATGTTCTGATACTGCTATCTTGTGTGCATACATTTCTCACTGTCTTTCAGTACTTTCATCCTATCTGTGTGTGTACATGGCTCGGGAAAGAGAGCCAACAGATATACTCCATATGTAACGTGAGTGGTAGGTGGCTGGGACTGTAATAATCAGAGTCTCACAGGAGATGCTGATGAGAAGAGGGCCCTTACTGCTACAGCTTCTTTTCCTCCTTACGCCACCCTTTACTTCCGCCTTCTATCTTACCTCTTCTGGTCTGCTCAGCACATGGCCTTCTGGGCCAGTTATCCCCATTTCCAACATCCGGTTCTGCTCCTAGAATGGGAACAAAGCAGAAGAAATTCCTAGGTGAGCTCAATTCAGTTTGAAGAAATTATACTAATATATTCTGATCTAAACATATGCTTAAGAAAGAATAAAATATGTATGTGTGGCAAACAATAATTCTCTGTATTTGGGGTTGCCATGTAAGCGTGACTCTTTTATTATAAGTAAGACAGCTGGTCTGTGAGAACACCCATTGCTTGTCTGCATTACCCATCAGCAGTCCTGCCAGGTCACTTACTCTCCATTATCTTTCGGACTTGGCTGCCCATGACAGCCCATGTGCTTAACTGGTTGGTTTGTCCCTTTCTGCACTTTTAAACTTATTTATCCAAAAGAAGTTACTGAGTATCTGCTTCATGCTAGGGTCAGTACTTGAATTCCTGTGACCTGGTGGAATTACAGTTTAGTGCATCATTCCCCAAAGTGTGGTCCAGTCACCACCCATACTGGAATCAGCTAAGCTGCTGTACAGCAATGCAGATCTCTGGTCCTATTCTGGCCTACCAAATCAAAAGGGAAGGGGAAAACCTAGTAATCTACATTTCAACTAATCCCTCTGGGTTTTTATGCTTTACACCTATGGATTAAATGAATGAATTCAGAGTGAAATAATACCTCCAGACAGCACCGAGTTAGTGATTTAGCTAAACAGTGGACACTAGGCAATCTGCCTACCCCTGGTGGTCAAGTGTTGAACTCCTCAGACTCTGGCCAGCTTTCCTTAAGAAGCAGGTGGCTGGACACTGAACACACACAGGGCTAATTGGAACTGGGAGGAATCCAAAAGCACCATACCTGCAGGTCTGCTGGCACTCACTCTGAAATTCCTAAAGCGACCTCCAGCAAGCCAGCCCAGCGACCCGGGAATGTCCCGAGCCTGCAGGGAAACGGGGAGTGGAGCAAGCCTTGGCTCATTTTACCATTCTAAGACCTTTGGAGAAATTACCCCTTGGCAAAGAAGAACTTTTTGAATTTTTTGTTGTTCACAACTCAAAGTTTCTAAATGGATTAAAAAGGAAACTGTACATAAGAGATGGAAAGTTGCACAAAAGGTTCCAGGCTTTTTCCAGCAAAGGATTTCTACTTGTCATTCTCATTGTCCTTATTTATTCAAACCTCAATGAATAAAATTTCTTCCAAACTATTGTGAGTGCCCACTCTGAAGCCTCTTTTTTTTTTTTTTTTTTTCCAGGGATTGAACTCAGGACCATGTGCTTTTGAGGCAGGCGACAGAACCACTAAGCTAAATCCCTGGACCCAGTCTGAAGCACCTTAAGTCACACAAAGTTTATAGTTAAAGCTGACAGTATCTTTTATCTAACACACACTTCCCTCTCGCTCACGTGTACCATGATAAGGCATATAGAAAAGCTAGCTCCAGCAGTGGATTCCAAACACATTTACTAGGGACGTCTTTTCTTTTTTCTTTTTTGATGGATATGTTGGGGAGGCTGAGATCGAACCTAGGGCCTTTGTACTCATTTCCTCCCTTTATATTATTTTGTATTTTGAAACAGTCTCTCTCTCAATTGCTAAATTGTCCAAGCTAGGTTGGAACTTGAAATCATCCTGCCTCAGTCTCCTAGAGTATGGCAATTACAAGTATGTACCACCATACCCAGAGCTGGGATACATCTTCAAAATACACTTTCCTGAACTCTACTTCTGAACTACTGAATCAGAATTTATGGAATCAGGAAAATCCAGTACTTCTAATACACTGTCTTGGGAAGTCTTATTCTAAAATCTAGTTTTCTTATAGTTGGAAGATTCAAAATGACATGTAACGACCCACTGATGCTTATGTACATGTGTTATGTACATGTGCCAAGTATCCACAATGAACATAATCATTATGTATCCCAAACACATACTAACAGAATAAAAAACATTTCTTAAATAAATGTGTGGAGATGCTGTAACCTCACACTACCTTGTCAGCTTGAAAGGTCTGAAAACTGCTCTTGTTTGTATCCAAAGGAAGCGATCTTTCTGGCTCTTTTAGTCACTTTTGCAGAAATGCAGCAAGCAACTCTAAGTACAGCAGCTGTCTTCAGTTAGACAATGTGATAAAATCTTTCTGCTCAAGCTGAATTTAATAAATACACACAAGAAATTCATCCAAATGGGAAAATGCCCTTATTCTTCTTCTGACAGAGAACAGATCTTCTCGAGGCAGGGAAAAGCTGGGGTTGGAGGGCAACTGAAGAGGCCTCTGTGGGGAAGGGGCTCTGCATTGGAGTCCCTTGCCTTTGCATTGGAGGGGTGGGGATTTGGTTTGGAGGGCAGCTGAAGGGAAGGCTGGGACCTCTGGCTGCTCACCGAATCCCTGAAGAAGGGGAGGATGACAGCTCTAACACCAGCGGGTGTCTCTCCTGGGAGCTGGGCCCTCGGCCCTCTGTGGAAAATGATTTCATTATGTCTGGTTGTGTGGGAGATGTGGGAGAAGGCAGAGTTTGAGGCCTGCCTGATTAGCCTTCTTGGTCAAAAGTAAGAGGAAATGCGCACTTAGTCTGGCCCTCCACATTCAGAGTCTGAGACCACAGCACTGGAGCCCTGTATTGCTGGGCACTGTGTCTCCAGGGACCTGCAGCTGGGCTCCAGGAGGAAGGGACCCCACAAACTCCATCTCGTGGTAAAGGTACCCACTGAGGCACAACCCCCTCAGAGCTAAGATCTGGTCCTCCGTTCATTTGCTGTGATTTTGGGGCCAGTGACATAATCCCTAGGAGCTGATTCTCTGATCTCTAAAACAGGGAGGATGGTGGCATCTTTAAGGGTTGGAAGCAGACTAAAGGAGAATATTCCAGTGCCTGGCATGCAGTGATAAGTGCTTGACAAACAGTACCTGCTATTAGGAATCTGATAAGTCTGAGACGAGGCTCAGCCTGTCCGTTGCTCCCACAACGCTGCTGACCACTCCCACCAAGTCCTGGGCAGCTTCTGAAGTGGAGGCACAGCCCAAGCGCTTGTGAGCTGTGAGCTACAGAGGGCATCTGTTTCTGCTCACCTCAGAGCCTCGTGCCTGGCAGTGCTCAGAGTACACTTAGAAAGAATGGATGCTGGTTCTTGAAATGAACGCTATCAAAGGGACTAAGACAGCTTCTGCTTCTTTTCTGGCCATCTCCTCCTAGCAGAAGCCAGTGCAGAATGATCATAAGATAAACATAGCCCTGCCTAAGACACATCTGTGTATGCATCTCTTCCATTAAGCAGCCCAGGAGACAAGGAACTGCTTTCTGCTTCCTTACAAATGATCGCTTTGGGCCTGGGGGCCCTTGTTTTCATCATTCTTTCCTCATGTTTCTCAATATGATTTCTAGGAAACCAGTCTGATCCCCAAAGGACCTAGATTCTTTATTATCTAAGTCTGTGATTTCTGCAGATGTGGATCGGATTTCTGGCTTCTGAGAATTGCTGCCTTAGGGATTTTCGTCAGGACAGACAATGTCACGTAGCTTTGTCTCAATTTCAGAAGAGGATCAGCACTGCTGTCCCACTAACTGACCCAGTTTGAAAGCGTCCCCCTCCAGGACACCATTTCTGATTCTCTGGGATGGCCAGGCTGCTTCCTATTTTACAGCATCTTGTAGTTTCTCCATTTCCCCTTCCTTTTCCCCTCCACGTAGACTGTGAGTTCTTTACAGCAAGTTCTGTCTTTAGCAAAGTGCCCTGTGGGTCTCTTCTACACACCAAGAGCTCAAGCAACCCGGAAGAGACAAGGACACCAATGGGATGCAGACTAGAGCAGAAAGCACTTGCCAAGGTGGCTTCCTGGTGTTACCTGGGCAATGATGTCCCCATTCTCAGCATGAACTTGAGCAATGGCCCCTAGTTCTCCCAGGCAGGTGAAGATCTCATAGAGCTGAAATAGAAATGAATCTTTGTCACCTTCCCAGAGACTTTTAGCTACCTCACTTAAAGGCCAATTACTAAAGCCAGAGCCAACAACAACAGCAAAAAGGAATAAACTGGAAGAAATCCATGACTAGTGCAGAAATATAGACTAAAATATGCAGGACAAAAGAGGAATATAGTACAAAGAAACTCTGGGAGATATGTCTCTTTGAAGATACTTTCATATCTCCTAGACAAACAGGACCACAATCTAATGAAGTACAGGTAAGCACCTCCTCTGGCTCAGGAATGTTTTTTGTTTGTTTGTTTGTTTGTTTTTTGAGACAGGGTCTCACTATGTAGTTGAGACTGACCTGGAACTCACTATGTAGCCCAGGATGCTCTCAAACTTGCAGCATCCTCCTGCCTCAGCCTCCCGAGTGCTGGGATTACAGGCATGCGCCACCATGCCTGGCCTCCGGAATGTATTTTTAATGAATCATTTCCCACTGAGCTGAAATATAGCTTCAGGATCCTTTGGAACAAGAGTTTTGGAAAGCTAGTACAGCCAGGTCAAAACTAACACAAAAGCTGAAAACCTATATTTGAACCAACCTTCATCTCCTACCAACCAAGAGGCGTAGGAATTAATCTGCATTTCCTCTGCTAATTTGAGATTTATCTAAAACAGATACATACCATGACTTTCCAGGGAGAGTGATAGGCAGCTGGAACAATTACTCTAAGTAACAGCAGGTCTTCCTGATCCTAGAAAGCACACAATCCTATGCCTTCTCACAGATGGTGAGGGGCTGGGAACTTGTTCAGCAGATAAAGATTTAGGCAGCCCTTTCCCTGAAAGCTGCTGCCAGTGGAAATCTAGCTCCCTGTCTGCTCGACGAGTGGCACATTGTCCATTACCTTATTTACAAAGCCACGTGGACTTCAAGGGCTTCAAGGAGTACTGTGGCCCAGCAGTCTCCCACACTGGCCACATTGACTCACGTTACGAGGGCCAAGATATTCAGCAACAATCGGAAACCTACTGGATACCCAAAACCTCACAGCATAGGGGTCGTTACCTCTGTGTTGGACACTTGGTACAAATCCTTGTAGGCCATGTAAACCATGAAGGAGTTAACCCCTGCAAGACACAGAAGAGGAGAAAAACAGGAGAAAGACAACATTATCACAGCAATCTTCTCTCCTTAGCTCCCCTTCTCTCACCCATGGGAGCGGAGCACATTACCCAGTGCCGATCCAATATCAAGCAGATCGTTCAACTTCTCCAGGAACATTTTACCATGCTCACCCTCCCTTACCTTACAAGATCAGGAGTTCCTAAACGATGTCACCACAGAGGGTCCCTTATTTTGTGCCTATTTCACATTTCCCCTCTTCTGGTTTATATCCAGATGCCTCCTAGAGCTCCATGCGCTCAAAGGCAGGGCTTCTAAAGGGTGACTGAGTAAAGGGGGCACTACAGCTAACGCAAGGTTAGGAGGCAGGGCATGGTCAGAAGAGGTTGCACCGGCGGCAGGACCTGGCAGGAAGTATCTCTCTCCCAAGATCTTCCCTTTACACTCTCAGCCTTGTGGCCACCATCACATGAGCAGCTTCCCTCCACCACTCTGCTGAGCATACAAAGGACTGGAACTCGAAATACACCTCGCTTCCTTAGGCTACAGGTGTTACGTCCTGGATCTCAGTGAAGAGAAAGTGACTAAGACGCCCCCTGCATCTTTTCAGCCCAGGAGCTCCATCCATCTGGAGGCTGCTGAAGGCAGCAGCTAGCACAGAGAACCACTCTAGCCCTAGCTGGGTTCACACATGGTGTGCATGCACCACCGCAGTCCTGCTCATAGTGCAATGAGCGGGGAATGCATATCTCCCTTACTCTTGTTTTCCTCACCCGTAAAATAGAAAAATAACAATGCCCTGCACCATAAGGTGGTGTGAAGGCAGCAACACCCTAAAGGAGAGGTCTCAGCCCCCATCAAGGTAGATATGTGGTCTCCATTAAAGGGTTCCTAGGATAAGATTATTTCATTGTTTGCTGAATGTCTGCTCTATAGTAGGACTGAACAGAGTGTCTCTAAATGCAATCTTAGGAACTGTTCTTCAATTTAAACAAATTTATGTGAATTTCAAATGTTAAAGAAAAAAATGTAGACCCCGACCTCAGGGAACTAACAGAGCTAATGGGGGCAGAAAATGAGTTTTTCCTCTGCTCAAAAACCTTAGTTGCCAGTGTAATAAGGAAAATTAAATTTTCACCCAAAATAAATAGGTGGGTCTGGGGAACAGCGAGTCATTCTGAGTACAGGAAGACAATTTTGGTCTCTACCATTAAGGCCATTTCAACCCACAGTGTTTCCAGCCAGAAGCGGATTATAGTTTAAGAAGCCTCTACCCAGAATGGTCTGGCTCAGGGCAGCTCTGTCCAGACCACGCTTCCCAAATGTTCCCTGCCATCGTGGAATGACCCAGACCCTATGTTGTTAAAGCCATTCGATTTTCTACTCCAACTGAGATGCCCCGTGTATAAGAAGGTACAGAAAGAAAAGAGAGAGCTAATCTTATATTCTATACCACTGAGAATTGGATAGGGCTTGGGAAGTAAAAAGAGAGAAGAAAAATTTATCCTGACAGTTCATTCTTTCCAGCTGCTCTAGGGAAAGCGCTTCTGCTGCGCTCCTGGTACGTGAGTCCAGACTACTAATACGTTCTTGCACAGAACTGGATGCCAGTAGTGGTCACAACTTAACAATGTTCTATGACGGTGTGAATGTTCAATATCTACTTATCAAAACATAGAAAGAAGTAGATAACAGGACAATTTGAGAAAATAATGGGTTTAAGTCATGTCCTTTTGAGAGAAAACTTACATACGCCCGGCACACCTGTTACCACAGGAACTTATTTTCATGCCCTAAGCTTCAAGCCTGAGTAGCAACACATCCTCGCTCTTGAAAATGTCTTCCATTTTTTGAGGATGTCATCAATTTACATAAGAGCAACAGTTTGCTTTCTGGGGTAAAAATGATAGGAGGGTTAAAATGCTTAATCTCATTTGTGTTCTCCAGGTGACCTTATGTAGGATACATTAGCTTCTTCCTAGCCTCAGCATCTCCCTCTGGAAAATGGGTAGTCCTGCATGGAAGTGAGGAACACCGACTCTGAGTAGGTCCACCGCTTACTAATTCTGTGATCTTGGGCAGTCAGTCTGACCCTCAGCTTCACCACCTGCAAACTGGGAGTAGCCACCTTTATCTCAAAAGCATCCTGTAGGAGGTAAGTAACACTCCACACAAAGGGGTACCAGGTGGAACCCTATGTCCAGGACTCAAGCTTAATGTTTCAGACTCCAAACGAGGAAAGACTGAAATGAGCTGATGGGGTAAGAAGGACAGGCAAAGAGATGCTCAGGGAGGAGGGAAGAGGGCACGCTCAGCTCCACCTTTGTCCTTGATGAGGCTCTGCACTTCCTGCTTGACACTGTCGTTCCAGTGGGTGATGTCCACGTGCAGGGCGTAGTCACAGCAGCTCTTCCCATCAGCCCACTCGCGCCACTTCTCATAGGCCTCGCTCAGGCTGGATTCAGGCTCAGGCACCACATGATCAACTGGAGGAAAGAGGCCCCGGTGCGTGACTCAGACATGGGTTTTCTCCCCTGCCCAGGCCAGCTCCTGCTTACTGAACTGTAACAGCACAATTGCTACTTCCTAGGCTTGAAGTTAAACTAGAAAAGGTTCTCTAGTAGCTTTGAGGGGAATGATGGTTTAAATGTTGTTTAGCTATGAGATTTGGGAAAAAATAACAAGTTTTTTCTCCTTAAAATAGGTACCAAGTGGGCAGCAACTGTAGTAGTGCTTTCCTTGTGAGTGTGTTATACAATTTAATAGGAAATCCATGCAAAGTGCTTCATTCCATGGCTAGCACACAGTGCCTGCTTCGGGAATGCTAACCCTCAGCTACTGCTCACTACACACTCTTCCTAGCAGCGCTGTCACTGCCGGTGATAAAAGTTGGACCCTCTTCCCAGAGGGAAGGAGGGGTTTTTAACTTATGCCAGGAACAAGAATCGGTAGCCTTCCTGCTCACTGATGGACAAAGCACTTACATAACAAAGCGTTTACATAACATCAGTTATGTAAATCCAACACTCTGGCCACAGACCTCATTTCCATGTGAAACTTCTGGCAAGCATCCAGCATCTTTGACCCCTAAACTACTCTTTCCCCTCCTATATCCATGGATAATGTTTTTTTAATCACTTCTACAGTTGTGAAGATAACACCAAAGTTATACTCTCATACACTCTAGCTCTCCCCTAGGCTCCTAAGATAAAGAGTGAATTGGTGCAACTTTCCTGAGAACGATTTTGGAATGTACATTAAAAGTTTGGGTATTTTTCATAACTTAATAGTCATTTCCATGCCTAAGAATTATGCCCAGGGAAATAGGTGTGGATAGCAGCAAAATTTCAGTTCTCAGGATGTATGCTACCATATTTATGTAAGTGAAAACCTGGAAAGAACTGAAATCTTTATACTAGGAACCTCTGGTTAATTAAGTAAATCACGATGCCTTCATAAGGTGGGGATCCACTTGAAATACTGTGGTAGAGTAAACATAAATGAGTGGAAAGATATTCATGACATGTAACTGAATGAAAATGACAGGATAAATACAGTACTGTACAAATATTAGGATCCTACTTTTGTTAAATGGGAAAAATATGTGCAGCATACATAGCCAGCTCTAACAGTGATGTAGGACTACAAGGTTTCTTTTCTTTTGCACATCTGTGATTTTTAAGTTAACTGTGAAAGACAAGAATGCCTCTGTGGTTCCCAGTATATTTTACTCTTATCACCTAGATTTCTATCTTTCCTAATGTATATGTGCTGCCGAAGCAAGCACACTCTTCCCTACTGTAGAAGTCCGAGCACAATATGCACCCGAAAGCTGCCAAACAGGTCCAATGTCTTGCCTTCATTGTAGATAGCCAGGCCAAGATCATGTTTCCTCAGCCTTTTATCAAAGGCAGCCCTGGTGCACTTTTCAGAGAGCAAATGATTGTGGTAGGTACATTACTAAGGTCTGGAAGAACACTAGGGTTTTCACAGGCAGGCAGTTGCTGAGAAGTCAGCTGGCTTCCCCCCTTCAGATGGAGAAAAGCTTTGGTCTCCCTGCACTGCACCTTTTATGGCCTTGGTGCAGTTTTCCTCAGCTTCCACACCCATCTAGCTGAAGTCAAGCCCTGCCAGTACTTTTCTGTGGAAAGGAGTGCAAGACAGTGGGCTATTCCACAGCTCAGGCTGTTCTGTGCTTGTGGGTGGATATATATGATGTTAAAATAAACAGTACTCTGGCTGACCACGTTTGGGCTCAGCACCAAGACAGGACTCAACTCACTGAGATTCCTTTGGGACAAGAAGGACCGCCCTGGTATGCCATTGGTTCCGTAATCCAATGGCATGCAACTCCCTAGGCTTCTCTGGAATTCCAATTTACCAGAAACGAAACCAAATAAAATCAAAACAATAAAACAAAATAAAAACGGAAACCACTCTCACAGTTGGTCCACTCTCAAAGGTACAAATTGGTCAAATAGCACTGAATCCAATAAAGCCCACCAATTTCTCAAGAACTGTAAGTTCCTGTTATCTTTCTCTGTAAGTTTTCATTTCGCGGCTGTTTTCATGCTCATTCACTTCAGGAATCCCCCTGCTCAGTCCCAGTGAGCTGCCCATTTTCCCAGAATAGCCTGCTCTTCTCAGATCCCATCAGCTAGAGAGTCTATAATGCAATTCGAGAAGAGTGTACAGGAGATCAATGGAGGGCCCTCTGCTTGGCAGGTTTGTTGAGGGCACGCGCCTGGACTTCAAGAACATAAAATCTGAGATCTTACTGATCATGGTGGTGCCACCTGCTAAGGCAGCTTTTGTCCCTTGGAAGAAGTCATCGACTGTAGTCATCCCCTTGTATGGCATCTGGAAGTGAGTGTGGACATCAATGCCTCCTGGGATCACCATCTTCCCGTTGGCCTCGATGGTCTTCACTCCTCCAGGGACAATCAGATTGTCTCCAATTTGCCTGGAAAGACAGTAAGACAACTGGTAATTTAAAAAGGCAATCCTCAAGATAAATATATCATTATAAAGATTTCAAACATTTTAATACGCTGTCAAAGTAGGCTGCAAGTGACTCACAAGTCTAGCAATTTGAAAATATAGATAGATATTTTGTTTTTATTGATACAAAATGATTTGATATGGGATTATAAAGACTTGTGTTTGTATCAACACAAAATAATGTGAATGGGACTGTGTGTCCTACTTTTACACTGTAACCCAGAGATTTGATAGTGTCTGGCATATTGTGTACATGATGGGTATTTTTGAAAATAAAAGTGTTTTCATTATTCCATTCATTTTGTTCTTCACTTATATTGAAGGTGAGGAACAACATTGGAAAAGGCACTAAAGAGTATAAAATAATGGCCTGGTAAGAGACAGAAGAAAATACAGAGTCATTGCAAGAAAAGATGTGAGAACTTAGTAGTTATTTCTAAGCAGGCCATTGTGCTTCTAAGAAAAGAACTCTGCCCAGGCCTACTTTTACCTCAGTCTTTACTCCTAGCTCCACCTTTCCTGATGATTTATCATCAACCACAGCTTGTGGCAGATTCATAAAAAAGGAGTCCCAGATGTAGATGCCTCTGACACCAGCTGCTTTGTGAGGTCAGCGTCTCAGCAGAAGCTTCAAGCAAAGGAAGGAGATATGATAACCTCCCCAAGAGATATCTTGGCCCAGAAAGTTCCTGAGCATTCCAGGGAGAAACTGGGCAGACTCAGGAGGAAGCAAGCCAACAGGTACACTTCACAAGGAATGTGAAAAGAATTAACTAGTTCCTGTACAATGTGACTTATAGGTCATCTAGTGTTAAGCAGTTTTTAATGTGATTTTACATCCTTGATTTAAACAGCTTTTCAAACCTGTCCATGTAGATTTCTGATCCACATAGGATCCACAGCTGCTACATTATCATTAAACATTTTCTACACTGGGTACACAGGTACCCTACTGCTAATGGCAATGGATACTGCCCCTTCTATACACAGCCAGCCACAAAGGTTCTCTCTTGGTACAGTAAGGTGTCTACCACTAGCCTGCCAAACTCTGAGTGCTGCAACTGCAGTATTTCTGACATGTCTAAGAGTTCAACTTCACCGCATCACCATGGGGCCATTCCAGGGCCACCACAATTTAAAATACACCATGGAAAAATGCAGCCTCTGGTCATAACTCCAGTCCAGACACTGGCCTATTCTGTTCCCATTTTCCTTCCTTGCTGCTTTCTCCCCTGGGAGAAACTGAGCACCAACCAAGTGCTTGAAGAACTGCCTGGCCTGGGTGTTTTCACTCATTTTGACAATTAGCTAACATCAAGTCTGAAGCAGAAATGCTTCCCCTTTTTGCAAATACTGAAGGCTCAACTTTCATCTCCTCTCCCTCATCAAGTTTCTATTGACATGTAAGTCTAAAAAGAATAAAGAGACTGGCTACGCTCAGACATAGACTGCCTGGATCCAGGATCTGAGTCTGCCAGTTTTTAGCTGTATGACCACGGCCAAGTTACTGAATCTCACCATGCCTTAATTCTTCCATCTATAAAATGTAATAAATACCTCCTCCAAAGAGCTGTATAAATTACGATTATTATCTGTTAAGCTCAAAGAACAGTGATAGGGAATTAGGGTTCAATAAACATCAGCTGCTCTAATTAATCATCAGCCCTCTCCTCTGAATTTCATCTGTTCTGCTGATGGGTGCTATTTTTTGATAATATTAGGCCCTCTGCATATATATAGAGATGTCTCTGTGTCCCTAAAAGACTGTAAGGTCTCTGGGGGAAGAAAGCATGATGAATTGGGCACCAACTATATCTACTGCAGTATGCTATATAGTAGTATCCAGAGCCTTGCACATAGAAAGTACTCAATGAATATTCACAGAGAGGCATATAAATATGCAACAATTGGAGGAAATTAGTATTATTCTTATGCTCTGTGAGTTAAGGATGTTGTAGGAGATACATGGCATTTCTGAATTAGATGACACCCAAACTTAACCACCCTTTTCTCCTCTACCAGCACAAACAACTAACAACCGATAACTAAATTTTTCTATAACATCCTTGACAAATAGGCTTCCATTCTCTCCAATAAATCTGGCAAAAAAGATTCATCTTATATTTTTAACTCTCCTAAGGATTCCCTGAAGCATAGAGTGAAGAAAGATTCTGAACCTGTGTTTAAGGCTCAACTGCAAAGAAGTTATGTGATTAATCAGTGATGACTCTCCTGTGATCTGAAAGAAGAAGTACGTATCAGGCACCAACTTATGACACCACTGCAAGCCTCTAAGTAAGGGAACTCATACCTCCAACAATATATAATAATTCTAGTAATAGAAGAAAACATATAGTCAATTGTGGCTTGTACACTGAATTAATTACTATACTTTTTGGTTGCTTATTATTTTCATTTCTCCTGCTTCAAGCAAGGAAAAGTAATGATATAACTTCACTGAGCAATTATGAAGGAGTGTCTTCGCTCTTGCCTTTATCTACTCAATCATTCATTCACTTATTCAATGTATTTGACTAAAACTCTGACCTTCAACAAGTTATTTATTCTGTGTGCCTCTTTCTGCTCAGCTGAGAAAAGAGGGTAGTAATACTTCACAGGGATGCTGGCAGATTGAAGGAAATAAGACATGTAAAATATTTAACAGTGGTTTACCTCTACCATGCAAGTGATGAAAGGCGGCTCTATGTGATAACCCACACCAGGCTAAGTGTTGCGGATATGGGGATGGACAAGATACAGTCTTGATGTGTGTCAGAATTGCTACGACTGATGAATGCACGGGTGCTTAGAGAACACAGAAGGGAAGCGAGCTCAGTCTTGGGAAAAGGTAGAGAAGTCTGCCTATAGAAATTATATCTGAGCCAAATTTTCAAAGATACAGTAAGAAATCTCTTCTAACTTGAGTCTGAAACTAGCCAATGAAGTTGAACAATAGCAAAATAAAATAGAGTAAGGTCAGAGGTAGTTAAACAGATGGGCTGGATGCTCTGGTCTTAAAACATCCTATCAGTGTGGTAGTACTCTTTGCCATACATGATCAAGTTCATTAGGTAAGGGACTTACACATAATTAACTGGCCCTGCTTCTTAGAGGCATCTAACAGCAAGCTGCATCATAAAGAAAATACAATATGAATCCTTTAGGAATCTATTTAAAAATCGTGTCTGAAATGCATGTAGTATCTGTGCCTGCCCTTCTCAGTCTTTCGCTTTTGTCAAGGTTTTAAAAGTTTTAAATAGCCTCTCTATATCAAAACTTCTCCTGTAAAGCGTTTCTTTCTGTGTATTTCTAAACCACTTATCTTATTACAAAGGCCCTGACACTGTGAGGGTGGTAGGATTTGTGCACACTCCTCAGTATCCATCAGGACAGTGGTCACATCCACTTTTCCATGATCTGCAGTGCCCATCCGTGCAGCTTTCACACAGGAGACTTCAGAACAATTCTGTTAATTGGATTCAGATTTTTCACTTCATTCGTGCAATCAAAGCTTCTTTCTATGCCTTCACTGAGGAGAACAAGTACAAAGGTAAAAAGAAGGGTCCTATATACATACTTTATTAAGCCATCTTCCATGTAAATGTCAGCATAGAAGGACTGATCATCATTGACGATTCTGCCTCCCTTGATAAGGAGACGGTCGCTCTAGAAAAAAAGGAAAACATGAGTCATTGTCAGAATCAGAACTTTGCAGAAGAGTAGCTTGCTAAGGTTCTCCCAGTTTACTGTTCTAGAGGTCCAGCAGGAACACACTTAATAAAGACACCTGTATGCTCTATGTACTCAACATTTTAACTGTGTGTGTGTGTTGGCTGCAGTCTTTGCCCCCACTTCAAATTATTCTGGAGTTTTACCTCTTATTTCTTCAACCTATCATAGACACAGGCTTTTAAAAGTACTATAATAACATGGAGTCATGCCTACTTCATGTTACAGTTAAAATTTAGCATACCTACATGTGTATGAACATATGTATGGCAAGTTGCAGAAGTAGAAGAAAAATCACTAGGTGGAAAGAAGACAAAATAGCTACAGTGTTCGCCTCAGGGTGGAGAAATCATGCAGAATTTATATTTGCTTCATTATATTCAGAATTTCTCAAAATTTTAGTAATTTCTTTATTGATTTAATTGTGAAAGATACAAAGCCTTTTTAAACATTGTAGCTTAGATGAAATATGGATCCATAAATTCAACTGGAAACAATGAGAACATACTCCAAGGTTATTATTAGCAAAATAAAGACATGCTTTGTACATGATTCAGGAGAGGAACAAATTGTGGCCAGCTCTACAGATCACAGATCCCATCAAATGAATGAAGCTTAGACTGAGGGGTGGGCTTCTGGCTGAATGGAACTATGACACGAATAAAGGATGGTAGACTTATGTTAAAATAAAAAAGAAAAGGAATAATAGGTTGGATTTTGTGAAGAATTCAACTTAGAGACTTCACTTTCATCCATCCATCTATCTAGTCATCCAGTCATCCATTTCTCTCACTCATCCACTGATTAAGCAAATAATTATTTAATCTTTATCATCAAGTAGGTAGGAAGAGTATGGTTGTGAACAAGACATACTAAGTCATTGCTTTCTATAAAATTTAAGGGAGAACTCTAGCAATAGAGAAAATCAAGAAAACACAGCAATGTAAAATTGTATTAAGTATCACATAATACAAGAGTAGGACTTTACTTAAATAGAGGCTGTAAAAAGTCTTTTCAAGGAGGAGCAATTGAGAAGAGGGCGGAGATGTGGCACTTCTGTGGGCAGAAGGAATAGCATGTGCAAAGGTCCTGCAAAATACACTTAGTTTCTTGAAAATCTGAAAAAGGTCGATGTAGAGGGAGCTCAAAGAAGAAAGCAGCAGGAGATGAGGGGGAGGCAGCAGAGTTTGAGTCTGAATGAAAATGCACTGAGAGGCAGAAGGACGTAGCTGAGGAGTGAAGACTCGTGTAGAAAAGGCAGCTCTGGATCACAGTGCTCAAGGTCGAGACTCAACCGGGATTAAGTGTGACAGACGGAGGTGTAAGGGCAGGAAGGCTTCCATCCCCAGCTAGCCAACATCAGCAACCCTTTGGCGCTACTCCCTGGCCCTTGTAGTGGGTGCAGCTTCCAAGGAGGTTACAGTTTTTAGCAAAGAGGAAGAAGCCTGGTGGCTTCTGGCTTCAGAAATGGAAGTGGGTGAACAGGGACAGCAAAAGAAGTGTGGACGTAAGGTCCCATGGGAGACATAGAAAATTGCCACTTAGCTTCTCCTGTTCCCAAGGTACTGCAAGAAAATAGGAAATGTCATCATGTCATATTGGCAGGGCAGAGGATTTTTTAAAGCTACTGACCAAAGAGGTGCTTAGAAAAACCTACATATGTAGCAAGGAAGATCAAGTAATGAAGTCAAATACAAATGCCCACCACTCGTGCTTCACAAGCCCCTCAAATATTCTGATTCCTGTCATAGGCTCACCAGAATCCCTACCATTTTGTATTACCTTCTATTTTGTACAGTTATAAAGTTATAAAATGTATTGTTCTTATCACATATCAGGCTACGTGGCCACGAAGACTTTGAAAATAAGTGCTCTCTTTATCTTCCATGTTCACTTAACATCTAGCAACCATTCTCTCTTCCGTAAAGGTTCTAGCCAAAGGGGTTCTCCCCCAGGGTGTAGAATCTAACTTTCCAGTAAGTTTCACCTGCTCCCACTGAAATTAAATTTGAACGATGAAAATGTTTTTAGTGATTTTTTGTTTATCTCTTGACTAAATCAAAGACTCCTTTAATCTTAGAACCATTTCTTTTTATTTATTTTTTTTTACCACAGTCCCTGAAGTCCACTTTTGACAGCTCTTGCTTTTGACAAAAAGCTCTTGCTTTTTGGCATGGCTGAAGGGTGGACACAGAAGGTGGTCGTGTATCAGCATAAATAAAGAGATATTAAGAAACTTATATGAAGTCATAAAATCTGATTTAAGAAAAAAGGAAGGCTGTTTTAATGTACTGTTTTAACAGTATTACAAAATTATATGAGAGTTGTAGGTCTGTGCTTCCAAATTAGTTTGCACACAAGAAAGGTACCTCTTGCCAGTCCCTGCTCATATTCACCGGCTCTGTATTTTATAAGCTCCACAGATGGTTCTTAGGCTCCCATCAGCCAGCCCAGCATCAAGCCACAGACCAGTACCCAGCACCACTCTCATAAAGTTCTGCAAGTGTAATAAAACTCTAATAACTAAGCGTTCACTCTCACAGCTCAATGCTTTTCTGATATTCATTATCTTTCTAGTAAAGAGCTGAACTGGCTTTTGGTAAGGGGCCCGTTTTACCTCAACTGAGACTAGTTATGAAATACAACTATCCTAAAGGCACTCAACCCTGAACCCAGTGTGACCACTACATCCCTCAACAGGCATCACGTGTCAGCAAAGAGGCAAAAGCTATGCTAGACCCTGTGTATACCACAGGAGCAGCAGGAGCTGATCCAAGTGGAATTAACGCCACTGAGATGGTACCACTGGAGACTTTTCAAGTGGTAATTAAATAAACCACTTCTGGCTCAAAAGTAAGGCATCTAGACAGAGCCTGAAGATGAATGAGAGACATGGTACCAAATTCAGAGTTAGTAGACTAACAAGACCGCTGGTTTATGGGCTATTGGGATTTACTATTACTGCTATTGTTATTTTTCATTATACAGAGCACAAAAATTAAAACCTGAACCCATAACAATCGCATGCTTCCCTGGGGGTCCTCAGCTTGCCTCTACCGGTCCACCCTGAAATCCCACACGATTAATTTCAACTCTTTCCACGCATGGAATAATCGACAACAAAGGAAAGCCTGGGCAAACCAGCCATTGGACACACAAGAGTCTAAAAGGAATTTTGGGTCTTAGCACTGAGGAATGTGAGGCCTGGGTATGACAGAACTACTGACCACCCCTAGGCAATAAAAAGCCAAACGTCATTGGATAGAAAACATGCTATTGTTATGAACTCAAGGGAAAGATGAACACAACTAGGGTCAAAAATCAATAACATGAATGAAACCAACATTTGACTAAATGTCAACTTCAATAATTAATATGGCTTTGTAGGGCTCTTCATGTGTAGGTTGTCAAGCATTCATGATCTAGTTTGAAGCTTTCCAATCTTTCTCATGTAATAATGCTAGTTCTAGAGCATGCTGGGGTAATATGTGTGTGTGTGTGTGTGTGTGTGTGTGTGTGTGTGTGTGTGTGTGTGTTGTTTTTCAGACAGAGTCTCACTACATAGTCAGTCAGGCCTTGAACTCACTATGCAATCCAGGCTGGCCTTGAACTCAAGGAGATCTTTCTACATCAGCCTCCCAAGAGCTGGGAGTACAGGTGTGTACCACCATTCCTGGCTAGTGCTGGGGTGATCTGGAGGGTATTTGAACCCCAAATGAGGCTGTTCAAAGCCTGATGCAGCAAGCAGGGAGCTCTGAGATCCTCATAGCCATCAAGGACTTGGTGCCAAATCCTCTTTAGTATAGCAGCATGCCAGGCCAGGTTAGGGTGTGACATCGCAGAGCTTCAGTGTCTCATTAGGCCAGAGTAGCTTATCTCTCAGGGTGGCTGAAGTGTGTGTGTGTGTGTGTGTGTGTGTGTGTGTGTGTGTGTGTGACAGACAGACACCCAAAGACAGAAATACCTACTGTGATAAAACTCATAAATATGTTATATTTATTCTATCAACATTATTTATAGTATATTATTTTAAAAAGCCTTGAGTATGTTGGAAAAAGACAACTGTTTCCATTTTCCAAGTAGGGAGGTATATACACAGAGGCACCTAACCCTAGGTGACACAGTGAGTGAGTCACAGTGCCAAGTAGATTCACTGATTTCCTCCAGGACCTGCTCCAAGGGGACTTGACTGATTGACGTTTTCGAGACAAGGTCTCACTATGTAGTACAGGCTGGACTTAAAACTCATTATGTAGCCCAAGCTGGCCTCAGATTCATGGTGATCTTCCTGCTTCAGCCTCCTGAGTGCTGGAACTACAGGTGTGCATCACCATGCCTGGCTCCAAGGGAATTTAAATCTTATGACAAGTGAATCTTTTGGACAGAATTCTTTTCCCTGTTTGATACTGAATTGGACTGCTCTAGTGTTTAAACTGCTGACCAGTTCTCTGCTTAGGTAACTAAGATTCCAAAAACTTTTAGTCACTGCTCATAAAATCAGTGCATTAAATCTGCCCCTATGGCCTGAATGTGTTAATGCAGTTTATAAAGGGACTTAATTTACAGTCCAGGGTAGAAAGGGCCCTTAAAGTATGAAAAAAAAGTCTTAATTTTTTTTTTTCCTTCTAGGATATAATAATGACTAGGAAATTAAAAATTTGAGTTTATAAGAAAAAAGAGAGAAGGAAGGAAGGAAAAAAAAAGGAAAGGAAGGAGGGAGGGAAGGAGGGACCCTTTAATGTGGGATGTTACAAACAACTGACTGATGACCAGTTCAAACTAGCACAGGGAATGAAAAGAATCTCAAACTAAAAACTGGATATATTTCTTCCCCTAAATCTTCAATGCAAATAATGTAGATGAAAGGTTCACCACACCACAAAACAAACAAAAACCCCATCAACTGCCACTCTGTCTATCTAAGGCACAGACAATGC